CCCCAAAACCCCAAAACCCCAAAACCCCAAAACCCCAGTTATCTCCTTCCAACTTGAACTACTTCTTATTAACCCACAACTTCCCTATTTCCAACTTCTTCCTCAAATTCTTCAATAATCCTTGCGCACCTACAAAAACCACATTAGCCTCCCAAAAAATCCCTCCTCCAACTCCACCCGCATTCCCTTCCATCCCAAATCTCTTCTCTTAAATCCCCCAAAGATATCTGCGCTTAAACACATCCTGTGCTGGCCAGCGACAGGCTGAACAAGCAGAAGGCTGGTTTTGGAAAAGGGAGATTTTGGAGGCTTTAGTAAGAAATAGAGGGGATTTAAGGAGCAGAGAGATGTGAGTGGGTGAGGGTGAGGGAATGTGTTGGATGGAGTTTAGAGAGGGGTTGTGATGGGGAAGATGTTAATTGTTTGAGAGGAATTAAAGAATTTATGGAGGTAAAAATGTGTATAGAGTTTAAATAACATTTCTAAATGTCTGTTGGAAAGAAGGATGATGGATAACAAAGAGTAACTAGGAATAGTTCTAAATGCCTAATATTCGTTGGATTACTTTATTTTAAAAGCTAAAATTGTGATTTTTCACAAATAATAGTAATATCTTTTTCTAAGATTTTATTTTTGCTGCATAAAATAATCAAGAGACAATAAAATTAAATCTCTTGACGAAATTCAAAGATAAGTATTAGAAATAGAGTTTAGTAAAGATCGTCACAGATTGGCATAAATTACCGAGCTAGACTTACTATTTGGCTTTATTTTATATTCTGGAGTTCTCATTGTTCAATCACTGTTGCTAAAATATAAAAACAAAGTCTACCTTCTAAGTCTGATTCTGGAATTTTCAAGATAGTTTTTATTATGACCTGGTTTATCTTTGTTAATTATAAGCATATTGCAGAATCATTCTTTTTAAAGCTTAACTTAGGCATTGGATCCTCCATCGACCTTCTGTAATAAAACTAAACACAAATAAACCCCTCCTCTTCCCCTAACCTACATTACTAAATTTCTTCCTCTTATCTCTCTTCTTCCTATCCTTTCAATTCTTCACACTCATAACCGTCCCAAACCCATTAGTCTCATCCCCCCTCTCCTCCTTCCTCAAATCCTGCCCATTTACCACATGAGCTACCTCCATATTACTCCTAAACCTCCTTTAACTCCCTTACTTAGGTCTACTCCTTGCTCTATCCCTCACAACTACTGAATTCCTACACTCTTGTCCCAGAAGCCTACCTCTTCTGCCTGATCTCCTTCTTGTATCTGTGCATAAGTCTGGTGGGGTATTTGGGCTTCTTAGGGCTCAGTCTAGGAGGTTAGAGAGCAAGTACTTTGGTTTCTTTGTGACTTTAAGCTTCTTTAGAGAACTTCTTCTCTCGGATGTTTGGCTTGCATTCTCTTCAGACTCTCATCTACTCAGATCGCCCTCGTTTATGATTCCTTTAAATGAAAGAATCTTGGTGATCAGGCCCATCTGAAAGTCAAAATTCTCTTTATTTTTGAAAATTAAATGCGTGATTTTGCTCCAAAGTTTATCGCTGATAAATTGAGAGTATCTTTCATCATCTTGTTTTGTCAATCTCTTGCGTGCAGGAGATAGCTCATTATGAAAGTCTTCTTCATAATCTAAATGTCTATTTTAAGTTCACAAGTTTGTTGTAGGGAGTGATAAAATAATCAATCTTCTCCTGAATTTCCTTTGATAATCTATTTAAGAGTAAACAAATCTATCTTACAGTGGATCATTCTTTACTTCAGAGATACTTAAAAGCTTGGCCTTAAGTTTTAGACTATAAGGAAGTCTTTTAATCTCTCTTGGTCCTATTTATGAGAGACAAGAGTACCATCTTCAAGAACCTTCTCCAAATTTATTTTTCCCAAATTCCTCTTATCAGAAATATTCTTCAATCTAAAGAAATTGCCTATATCCATAACCTCCCTTCAACCCTACTCTTCCTCGACGACATTCCAAACATCCTATCTCTTCTCACCTTAATCGTCTTCCTCTTCACCTTCTTACTCCTCACCGAGTCTCTTGAAGACATTTTCCAGCCAACTTCCAATATTTATTCCTAAACCTGGGGTTTTGGGGTTTTGGGGTTTTGGGGTTTTGGGG